AATATCAGCTGATGGCTGGCATACCGCCAGGCCCAAGATGATCTCTGCCTGCCATGTACACTCCTTCGGTTGGCCATTGGGCTGCCTACCAGGTCTATCATATTCTCAGACCAATATCAGCTGATGGCTGGCATACCGCCAGGCCCAAGATGATCTCTGCCTGCCATGTACACTCCTTCGGTTGGCCATTGGGCTGCCTACCAGGTCTATCATATTCTCAGACCAATATCAGCTGATGGCTGGCATACCGCCAGGCCCAAGATGATCTCTGCCTGCCATGTACACTCCTTCGGTTGGCCATTGGGCTGCCTACCAGGTCTATCATATTCTCAGACCAATATGAGCTGATGGTTGGCATACTGCCAGGCCCAAGATGATCTCTGCTTGCCATGTACACTCCTTCGGTTGGCCTTTGGGCTGCCTACCAGGTCTATCATATTCTCAGACCAATATCAGCTGATGGCTGGCATACCGCCAGGCAGAACATATTACTGATAATTGAGAGGAAGTGGCTTAGCATTATCAGTCTACAACAGGAAATGCTGTTACTCTCCATGTAGGAAATGCTGCAACATTATATTAACAAATATGTGCTGTATAAACCTAAAGTGATTGTAAAGTCTGAATTTTTTGAAAAACAAACAAACCTCCTTTTTTTGGGTCCCCCGCTGGCTCTCCTGGCTCCTCCTCTTCGGAGTGTGCCCCCATAGTAAACTGCTTGCTTTGGGGGCTCATCTGCAGGCTCCCTTGCAAGGCACACTTTCTGCATCCATAGACACAGGCAGCGTAGCTCGGTCCCGCCCCCTGCTCCCTTGTCACAGGATATGACTGACAGCAGCAGGAGCCATTGGCTCCCGCTGCTGCTTGTCAGTCCCTGTGTGAAGAAAGAGAGAGGAGAGAAGACTGCAGCCAAGCACAGTGCTGGATTGAGTGAGGACTCAAGTAACTATAAGGAGGGTGAGAGGGCATAACTGATCCCTAAACATGTTTTACCTTAATGCAGGGAACGGTTATATAAGCTATTACCCTGCTCAGGACTTCTCAGTCACAGAATAATGGTTTATTTAATAAGAGCACAATAAGGACATTTTTACATCTCTCCCAGCAACTGTGGGCTATGTGACAATGAGGAAGAATATAAAAATAAAAGCATTGCGGGAATCAATGATAAAGTTTCATGAAAGGAAAATGAATCACCAAAATCTCTGATCCTTTACCAATCCTATTTTGTCATTATGACATTAAACCATGCCAATGATGCCCAGAATAGATCTATTGTACTGTATCTTATGGCCAGACTGCAATCCCAGATATTACCATTAGGGGGATAACAAAGTTCAAATTACAGCTCTGTAAGCTAGAAAATACCAGAAGATGCAGTAGTGGGGAACACTCTGTTTTATGTCTAGATCACAAGCAAATAGTTACAAGGTTTTTGTAGAAATCCATTTTAATGAAATTATTTGCAATATCCTGTCCCTGTTTGGCTTTTTATATATTTTTGAAGTGCATAATGCTTCAGTAGTGCAGACGGATCACAACCTAAAAGTTGGTAGCAAGCAATATCATTGGGAGCAGAGTATCACATCTAACTTTCAGGTCAACGGTTAGGGACTTAAATATACAGAATATGTGAAGTAATAGCACACAGATCTAATAAGTGAACAATTGTTTAAGAGATTTGAACAAATTTGTTCAACTTAGTGATTTGCTTTGCAGAATGGTTATATATTATCCACCAGACATGGAGTGCATTTATAAAGGGGCAATTTGGACCCCACAGTAGTGCACTGTGATAGCCAAAAGATAGCAATATGGGGCAAGAAGCCCTCACTCCAGAGTTGGTCATAGACTCCTGGCTAATAGCGGCCTGCATATCAATGTCTTAGGGGTTAGAAGGACTACTTAGCCAGTTCACAAAGAGAGGATCTGTTTGCACTGAAAAAAACAGCTAAGGCCCACTTTAAAGTAGACCCGAACTCGAAAAGCGAAGACTTTTTTTGTAATATGAAGCATCTGCAAACATCATTTGCACTTAAGCAGTACTCTGAAAATTCTAACTGTTGCCTAAACTCCTCATGAAAATAAGCAGCACACTTCCTGGTAAGTGAGTGTGCCTAGGCACTTTTATATCTACAGCCTTATGGCTGTATATCTGCAGTGAAAGATCCTGGGTGCTTCTAGTCTCATGGGATGTAGAGTAATATTTTATGATGTCACTAATGTGCTGCTCCTTAATCTCTTTGCTGGAGTATCACGTACCTGGTGATGGAGGCCAATGGAGAGAGGGCTTCCCTTGTGCCTGAGTTCCAGACTCCCCTGTGAGTGGGACAGCTGGAGTCAGGCCCAAAGTGGCACAGGTCACCTGTAGGAGTGCTAGTTGGTGGTCCACCCAGGAGCACAGCTGATGCACGGAGATGAGGTCTTCAGACAGGAGGTATGCAAACCCTTCCGGGAATAGAGGATTACTGAATAGCAGGTTCAAGCCAAAGTCAGGTACCAGGTGGGAATCAGAGCAAACGTAGTCAGATGGGATAGCCGAGGTCATACACAGAGGAGAGAGAGAGAGTATCCGTTAGCCAAGCCGAGGTCAGATCAGGGGTTAAGCAGAGTAGACAGGTCCAAGAGCAAGCCAAGTCGGTATCAGGAAATCACAGGTCACAATAACACAGGAAACAGGAACAAGGTATGGGGAGCTAGAGATCATCCAGCAACTTGAGGAAGTGATGAGCCTCCTTATAAAGGCCGTCTGGCACCAAACTGAGGCTGATGCGTGCTTCTGCGGCCATGCAGGGTACTGGCAGAAATGCCAGATCTTCCAGAACTTCTGCCGTGGACAGGACCCTGACATGGAGGCTGTGCATGAGGAAGCAAAACCCTGCCTTTACCAAGATCGCTGCCTCCACACAGACACAGAGCAAAACAAAGCATAGTAAATCAGCAATGGGAATAAGATCAACTGTAGGTAGACCACTGGCAATAGTGGTGACAAGTTCTTTAACCTCCGCCTTCTTTTTGGGCACAGAATCTACTGTTCAGGTCGTCTTTGAGGGCATCAACTCCCAGTGACATCTTTTCTTATATGAACTGGTATTCTTGTGCACAGGAACCTTTATGATGACCCTTGGATGCAGAAATAACTCTTTACTAGAGGTGTAAAATTTCCGTAAATTTTGAAGCCATGGGAAAAAAAAAAATTTTTTTCTGGGGAAAAAAGGAAAAATGTAGAAAACATTCAGTGTGGTGTAGTTTTTTTTTTTTTTAAATTCAAAGTCATTTTGTTACACTGGGAATGTGAAATGCAGTTTCTATAAAAGTATTATTCTTGAAATAAAAGTACAGTTTATTCAGTAAATAAACTAAACTTGCTTTTTTAAATTTTATATTTTTTTTTTATTACAAATGGAATAACAAGTACTATAAATGTTAAGAACATTTTAATTATTCATGAGTACAGGAAACTACCACCCTTTCCTGTCAATATGCATTTTCAGTTTTTGACAATGCTGACCCAAAAGCACATATTGCTTCTCCAAGAGCTTGACCAATTTTCCCCTGATTTTCAGGTGTCGTTTTCTCTATAAATTAAGGTAATGTGTATTTTTGGGAGGTGGTGGTTTGCAGCACTTCCTTACCTGAAGATGCTGCTGATGAAGAAATACTTTGTGATGATCCAGAAGCAGCATAAAGATTGTTTCTGGAATGAGGGAAAAGCTACTTGCATTTTCATTATGGTCCTCATCATTTCATTCCATAAAGTATTTTAGGGAACCTTTGGCATACCAGGATGTGTTTTGTCATCCTTGTAGCATTTGGAAAAGAATATTTCTTCTCACAATATTTGCAAATTGCAGCTTTGCTGCCAGTAGGAATTGCACTATAGAAACTTTTCCAAACTCTAAATTTTGGCCTCACCATTTTAATGAGAGGAGGAAAAGAAAAAACGATTTACTAACCAGACTATAGGTAAACATCTTGGTGTAATGGTGAAGAACATTAATAGGAATAATTTAAGGATTATAAAGATAAATTTATTAATCAGACAAATTTACCCTATTACCTGTCAATTAAGGCATGAGAGGAGGACAGCAACTATCTTCTACTGTATCCCAACAATCTCCCATCTGTACAAGGTACAAGATGAAGCCCACAAGAAAACTAAACTGGAGCCTTTCCCCTGCAGTGCCCCTAGTGGCAGAAATGTATCTCTTGTTTCGGAACAGCACTGAAAAGTACAGTGCTACTTGAATTGTATTCCAGGATTTGCTTGAGAGAAATTGCAATAATTTAAGACTTTACATAAAGCCTCAGAAATCTTTTGTTAGGGTCTTAATGTTATATAGTTTGAATACCATGTCATAGATACATAACTTATAATTGTCAAAAGGACAAATTCCACACCTCTTTTTTCCCAGTTCTTCCGGCTTTGAAAAAAATGACAAAAAAAACTGGTTTTCCCAATTTTTCGGGTTTTTTTTCCAAGCCTTCTCATCTCTACTCTTTATTGAAAGGTCCAGATGTTGTAGTAGCCAAGGCTTCATACAGCATTGCAAAACTACATACTGTACATCCATATTGCTTTGACTGCTCTGAGGAAATAATAGCTACAATAAGTCTCTCGAATACGTGTTTAAAGTGTTTCACCCAATAGGTTAGAGATCCCTATGACTAAGCCCTATTGGGTAAAAAGCATTAGCATGGGGACTGTCATTTTCATGCTTGTGGATGTTTCATACATGGATGTCAGTGAATTATCCGGTGTATGGTGGCCTTTCTTTCTGCAGTTTGTCTGTGACTGAGGACAGCTTGGCTAGCCTCCAGCACCTGGTGCTCAAGTGGAGGTGGGGAAGAGCTGCCTGGAGCAGAGAACCTCTTGTTCATTACTGATTCCTAATTTCACTTTCTAACCAGCATTATAAAAATTAAACTGTAATCTGACTGGTTGCTACAAACAAGACTAAATTTTAACAAAAAAAATGTATGGCTAATCTAATTTGTTTTGACTCTTTACAGATAAATGTGGATTCTTCACACAAAAATCTAATCTGATCACATATGGACTGATAGCGCTATCCTATGTGATGGTCATCGCACTCTTCATAATAGTCCTGTCACAGAGTAAGTGGTATCTCTAAGGATAGCTTCATATTTAGCAGTATTTGGCAGAGCCAGACGTCAATGAACATGTGGAGAACTGTGCTGGGGTTCATGCAAACAAAACCAAAATAAAATATTGCTGTTATACATGACATGGTTGCTATGCTTGCGGTTGATCCCTGAGATGGGAGCTAAGAAACACTGACCAATCATTCATACAGCAAGCAGGTGGTGCTGTAGGCTACCTTTTACCTGCTTAATGGGCTGATTTCAGTTGCTCTGTTAAAAAGAGTATGTTGTATATTGAGCTCAATAACTCAAACTCAAATGCACACATATGATCTAATAGGAGCACTGACCCCCCCTCTGTTCAGGGCAGGAGAGTTTAGAGGGGCTGAACAGAGACAAACACAAAATTATGTGCCATGGGTGTTCTCTGTATTAAAGTGGTATAAAGCCCAAAAATAACAATATGGTATATTGCAGCTTAGCAATTCTTAGATGTGGTGCCTGTATAACTTTCTTTTATTTTTAGGCTTTTTACCTCATTTATTTTTACCTAGTGATCCAATCGTAAGTCTAAAATTGATCATCTTCCTTTCCAAGACCAACCTGTCCAGCAAAAGTGGCAGTTAGGGTTGAGACAAACAATTTATTCCACAAGAAAAAGACTGTTGATGTAATTGCTTAAAAAGTGCTAGATGGTGCTTAGCTTTAATTTGTTTGTCAATCCATCTAAATGTGCTGGTGCATCTAACACTATCTTCTCTCCAGACTGACAATGCTGCTGTCCAAAGACATCTCTGCTACTCCTCCATCGAGAGTGGAGACACCCTAAAGCAAGAAGTATGTTACTGGCCAGGTCAACAGGAAAAAAATGCTTAAAAAACTAATGCAGAAGTCATGTTTAAGAATAGATAGGCTGTGGTATATTACATTTTTGTTTTTGAGGTTAATACTACTTTAAACTTTCATTTTAAAACATTGACTGTATACAAAAAGTAAAGTTAAAGAAAATAAATAAACTTTTATATATATATATATATATATATATATATATATAATTGGTATAAATTTAAAAACGTATAAAGCAAATAATATTTTAAAAACCCCAATACACCTCTGTACACCAACGGCTATATTTTTGGATACCAGGAAAACAGGAGCAAGCATGTTAAATTTTCCTGCTTTTGCTGTTTGCTTAGTATCTATCCTACCACGATACAGCCAAAGACCAAGTAGTAAGACAAGAACCCTGCTTTATCATAGAAAGATGTAGTCTCACCTAAAGTTTCATTGTGTGTCTTTTCTGTCTGGCAATCTACCCATTTTTTATTTCTTTTCTTTTAGAGAGTCCATCTCAAATGGCTACCATGGCTAGCAAGACTGACCTCCAGAGCTTGGACTCAACTGGTAAGTTTTTTCATGCTTTAGTATAATTGAAAAAAAAAAACTATTATCCCTAAAAAAACAGTCCTTGGACTCCAGCCAAGTGACCTTACCCAGTCTGCTGCAGGCTGGAGAAAGCATTTCTTCAGCCAGCACTCCCCAGTGATAAGACTTTAGCATTGCAAACTTTGTTGCAAATCATAATATAAGGAAAAGATGGCTATGAGATAATACTGACCCTGGGTTGTTTACTGAATCCACATATGTTAGGGTGAGTTGGAAATTTTTATTTAACCACCCACAATGTACTGCAGACAGGTGGCTTGTACAGGCATAATGACAGCGAGAGTCTGTAAGCAGGTCCTAGTCAATGATTCATGGCCAGCACCTGTGTCCAATCACAGCCAAGTGCCCTGAGTTGACAATCAACACAGGGCTCTGTACAGAGGGATCAATCTTTCTGTTTCTTCTCCCTGCAAATCAGGGATAAGAAACAAAGAGATATGTAGTAAAAAGCAGCACACATTACACACATTAACATTTGTTAGGCACACATCTAACCCCTTGATTAACCACTTCTCAGCCAGTATCATTTGTACAGTGACAGTATTATCACTGATGATTGTATTAGTGTCTGTGATTTACTGCCTGGCACCCCACCTGGATGTTTCCGTCTGAGAACTACTTCCTCGCCTCTGGGACACAGGACCAAGGTATTATAGCTGGGCATTGTACCCAAGAACACTAGCTTAGGTGCAACAAGGAACTCAATGTTATTGAAAATTCCCACAGAATTTATATCACACAAAATCAGATAAGAGCTTGATTATGATCCTAAACAATGCAACCTGTAAACAGTAAAATCATCAGTAAATCTAACAATGCATCTAATGAACAGCTAACATTTAACAGTGATCTAATTAACAGTAAGCTAATCAACAGCCAGGCACCCAGACCAGCCAGGAGCCCACCCCAGACAGCTCGGCAACAAGCCCACACCCCTGGATATACAAAGTGCATTACACATGCTGACTTTCTGGTGTTTGCCTTTCACTTGTATAATCTGTCTACTAGAAAAGTCGTCATAATACAAAACGAATGCAGTTTTCCAACAGTCTGAAAGGTGGAATTATTTATCTTCATAGATTTCTTGAGGGAGATTGGTGATAAATATTTCTTTCCGAAGTGAAGGAGCTTCCCCAACCCAATCTGCAGGAGGGCCACTATATTTTCAATAACCATTAACCTGTACCAGATCAATACTACGTCTTTCCATCCACTCCAAAAGTGAAGCTTTGTTGTCTTTATTCAGAGAATTAATCCAAGCCTCACTCTCAGTGTTCATCACGTTATTATCCATCAACACAGACTGATCCGCTCTCTCCATGGGATCAGAGGCTGAACTGAGTTCTTTTCCATGCTTTTACCTGGAGAAGCAGACAAAATTATCAGTCTCCTCCATGGGCCATAATCAGTGGGTAGAAGGCTAGCACCTAATCCCCTCCAAAAGCCCCTGTCCTAGTTGGGTCTGTCACAATGTCACTGGAGATGGCTGTGCCAGTTAGTCAGTTCCCACCCAATGTCAGTTAGTGTCACACTATAAGTCGCTGATCACCGCCATTACTAGCATAAAAAATAAATAACTAAAAATTCCAGTGTGTATACCATTGTTTTGTAGACGCCATAACTTTGACGCAAACTCATCGATATATACTTATTGGGATTTCTTTACCACTGTACAAAAAAAGAAACCCGCTCCACTCTCGATGCTGGCTCCCTGACAGCTGCGCCGGGATGACAGTTCCTAAATACTATGATGACATCACAAGGGGGCTGTGATTAGCCAAAGCATTTGTCAGGTGCATTGCTTTAGCTAATTACAATGGACTGTCAGTGCATTATGGGGAGCGGTGAGCAAACAGCCCGCCTAACGCCCTTACTGTTTGTGTGTTCGCCAAACACATGAATGGCCAACGTTCGAGTCGAACATCACTAATATAGCAAGAGATAGATCAGTCCAGATGAATTCCACCATGGAACACATGCATTCATTCATAGTCTGTAAATGATATTAAAACATTGTTAATATATCATGACAATGATGGTTTACTCTCTTGCAGTTGGTAACCTGTCACTAAAGATGAAGCAAATAGAACGGGATACAAAAAGTAAGATATTTAAAATATACACATTTTAAAATAGAACAATTCTTTGTGTTTTGAATAGAATATGGAAGGGGTGGCTTTCATTTAGGAAATCTCACTGGGCAAGAAGTGGGGGGTCATTTTTCCAACTTGAACACAGCAGTTGGAAAAGTTAGAACCTCTGTTAGTTGTTTACTGCTGTTTTCATCTATTCTGAGGAAATTCCCATTTTCTTTCTATTCCACGATGGCGCTAACTAGGGAAGTTAGTGTTGGGAGGAGAATTCTCCCACAGCAAGTAATAGAAACCTGACTGAGATAGGAGCCCTTCCTCACTCAAACAAAAACTAAAATTAAAAAAATTTAAAAAAATGGTTTTGACCATAAAGATCTTCACTTTATTCAGTTGCCCAACACAACTATATAGTCTACAGCAAGGGTCTCCTAATGTTCTAAACAAAGGGCCAGTTTATTGTCCTTCAGACTTTAGGGGGATCAGACTGTGGAAGCGGGAATGGAAGTTTTCCTGGCATCAGTGTTATTAGAGGAGGAATAGTGCCCCATTGTTTGTATCATTGGGAAGAATAGTGCCCCATTATTGGTGTCAGTGGGAGAAATGGTGCCCCATTGTTGGTGTCAGTTGGCAGAATGATGTCTCGTACCTGTGTGAGGAATAGTGCCCTAAGGGCTGGATAAAAGCAAGCAAAGGGCCACATCCCGGGTTCCCGCATGTGGGAGTGACATCATCGCAGCTCCAGCCATTCATACTGCCAGAGCTTGCAAACCCAGAAGGAAGACTGGGTGAAGATGAAGGCACAGGGAGCTGTGAGAGAGGTGCATACAAGTACATTATGACCTAAACCTGCAGGGGGACCATTATTTTGTTTTTTTTTCAGGCAGTTTACTACTACTTTAAAAATTGCACATAAGGGAGCCTAAGGGTCTATTCACACCAATGCATCACAATAATGCCTGCTACATGTGTTAAGGCACTGGTCTGATTGTTCAATCCACTTTTTTTTAAAGGAACCTGTTGAAAAATTGCCAGTAGAACGGCAATTGCATCTATTTAGAAGTAGGCATTGTTTGGTCTTTCCACTTGTGGCAGTGCCTGCTGTCAGAACACAACAGTCTGCTGTTATCATGTGTGGAGGAATCTGTTAAGTTGGGTGTACACTTTGAGTTTTTTTGTTCAACCTGTAGGATGAGTGAAACAAACTCACAGATTCCCACATCCACACAAGCTATATGGGTGCAGGGATCTTCCCTGCTACACTATTGTATTCTAACAATTGGGACCCCCCCCCCCTGCGTCAGAATACATTGATCAGGGCTGCAGCTATTGGCTGCAGCAGCTGATCAAATGCTGGTTTTCCAGCAGGACAATTCGACAGAAGCCTGTCTAGTGATTGTCTGTTGTTGAACAGAGAGATGTTCGCACAGATTAAAATTCATCTGGTTCCTGCTGATCCGGCCGAATTTTGAAGTGTATATCCAGCTGAACACTTGCTAATTCTATAATTTTCTGATCGGTCCTGCATCACTGATAAAGCATTTCTGACACTATCTACAGATATATATACATACAAATATCCTGACATCATCAATAAACATAAGTATAAAGGAAATGTAGAGATGCTATCACTATTCCTTCCTTGATAGGAATTATTTTATTGAATTCTATTGCAAAATGTGTGAATCTTGGATGAAAGTTGTGTAACTCGTGTCTGAAAAAAATTAAATAGGCCCAATTTTTGTGTTTTTTTTTCAGAGGCAACCACTTGTGAGACTGGCTGGCAACCATTCAAAGGCAGTTGCTACTTTTTTACAAACCTCAGATCCAACTGGATGAAGGCCAGGAGTTCCTGTGTGATAAAAGGCGCTGACTTAGCTGTAATTACTAGTGAGGAAGAACAGGTGAGCTCTTTATTTTCCAACTGAACTTTAAGGCCTCATTTACACTTGTGTTTGGGGGTGATAAAAATGTGCCACCGCCCCCAACCACTCCCCCTTGCCCCATTACAAAGGTAGTGGAGGGTGATGTACATGTGCCTCGGCTGCAATGCTCATCACTGTAACATTCAGCAGGTGGTACTGAACACAACCCATTCCAATTAGGGAGTTAAAACTGGTGGTGGTGGGGGGGGAAATACAATGCCTCCAAACATGGATCACTCTTTAGAGAGTATTGCTAGTGTAAATGAACACTAATACCCTACACATTATGGCCATCTTTTGATGAACTCCCACTCTCTTAAATCACAGGTGAGTAGGCAGGTGGGGGCGCACGCGCCCCAAACCCGGTGACAGGTAGCAGTGTACCAGTATGTTGCGGTGCCTGTAGCTGCTGCCCCTCCGCAGTAAAGCTACTGTGGCAGGTCAGCAAGTAGATAAAGGGTAGAGCACCATAAAAGTGTTGGAAGAGATTTCTTTAATCTATTTTGGCTACGCTTCCACAGAGGACCTGTACTTTTGTTGATGCCAAATGCACTTGCTTTGATTGGGGCCCTTTGACCGGGAAATACTTTTGGTTGTGCTTTAATTATGGATATGCGGTTTTGTCCATTTGGCGCACCTCTGCACCTCTGATTGAGGGACCCCTCCCTCTTGAATCCAATGTTCATGGTTCTTACTGGCTTCCTACGAACTATTGATGCCATCATTGGAATCATATGTTATATCTCCCTGAGGAAGTGGGCTATTGTCCCACAAAATTTGTCGGAGAAATAATGGAAATACCAATTTGGAGCTAATACGTCAACTATTGTTCTTATGTTACCTAAGGTCATACCCTGTAATGTTATGTGTTGAACTTGTTTGTTATAAGCATTACATGCTTTTTATGATGAGCATTGTGGTTGCTAAAATATCACTACCACAACTGTGGTTTTAACTCTGTCAATAAAGTTGTACTTTTTACATTTTTGGAGTATATATTCATTTTGTGGTATGGTGCCTCTTAAAGCCCCATTAGTTTTTCCAGTTAGGGTTTTCATGTTTTTCAGTGTCCTGTTAATAAGGGGTGTGGCACCACTAAAACCTACCAACAAAGGGTGAGACCTTATTATGGGCCTCTCTCTCCCCCTCCCTCCATTACTACTATTTCTTTAATTCACCTGAATGAAGTGAAAGGAGGATGGAACACGCTAACCCCCACATTTTTTAACTTGATATATCATATCTGAACAATTTTATTCTAGCAATATTCTTCATATCTTTTTCTTTAGAACTTTATCAGTCGTCAAACTGGGGACCAACCTTACTGGATTGGTCTGAATGACATAGAAGAAGAAGGGAAGTGGACGTGGGTGGATGGAACAGACTATGCATCCTCATACAAGTAAGATGTCTATATATATTTTCTTCTGTTGACATGTCCACAGTAAGCTCCCTCAGACACAATGTAGCAATGATGTCATCACAGATGTAGAAGACAAATTCCAGCTACAAAAACTAGGTTATTAAATGAAAGTACAGATCCTAAAGCAGAACTAAACCCATCAAATTCAACTGTTTCCAAAAGTAGATGCATTCAAAGCACACCATCAATAATAATAATAATGTCATATGGGACAGAAAGCGGGTTTTCCATCTGAAGTACAACCCGATGCAAAAACTGATAAAACATTTGGGGGTTAAGGGACACCTACAATATACAGAGAAAAGAACAAAAAGAAAAGTGGGCATAGAGAGGGGGGAGGGGAGGGGAAAGGGGAACCCATGGGCTCGGGACTATCGTATCAGGATCATAAGTGGACCAAACTTGTCCAGGTGTAATGAGGGAAAAGCGTATTTGATCCAAGGTTCTCAAACTTTGAGGAACTTGGGATGGGAGTCCATCAGGTCACTAGACATTTGTTCATTAATCATAAGTACTGTCAGTTGGTCTTTGTCTCTCTGGAATGGGACTGCAGGTTTCTTGCAGGCTTGGGCTATCGTTCTCTTGGCAGATAGGTAAAGATATGAAGCCAGTTTCTCTTTATGGGAATAGGCCAGTGTAATAGGGCCAATTTAGGATCCTTACGGATAGGCAAATGAAACAAAGTATTCAACAGACTGAAAACTCCAGACCAAAAGCCTATTAGTCACAGGCACTTCCCCAAAATATGGAACATTGCTCCATGATGGCCACAACCCCTGAAGCAGTGGTCCCTTTAGGTGGAATTAGTATGAGCAATCTGAGCAGGGACCCAGTACCATCATATGAGGACTTTGTAAGCTGCCTCCAGTGTGGCAGTATTGATAGAGCATTTCTCTACAGAGGACCAGGCCTTACTCCAATCAGCAAGGTCAATGGTTGTGTTTATATCTCAAACCCAATGAGCCATATGGGTCAGAGATTTATGAGATGCTCGGTTATTCAGGGATGCACAGAGGGAAGAGATAAGGCCCGGAGATCCTGGGGTATATTGACAGATGGGTTCAAATGTTGATTTTCAGTACGGATAAGAGGAAGTGCAAAGAAGGGATGAAATCAAAGATAACGAAAGTGCTCAGACTGTGGTGCCTCACATATTTCCCAGAGGGTGGCCCAGGTTGGAAACAATCAAGTGGATAGAAAGTGGTGTACCTAAGAAAAGTCATGGGAGACCCAAAAGGAGAAAGCTTGTTCTAGACCCAGAGGGAATAAGGGATTGGTAATGAGAGGCAAAAGAGGTAAGAAAGGGAACAATAAGTCCCATGTCCTTAAACCATAGGTTATTAGTGGCCTCAAAGTGGTGGGACGCAGAGTATGAGAGAGCCAAAGAAAACTCTGCATAGAGATTGGGGTGCATTTGGGAAGTTCCAAGAGCATCCACATTGGGACATCCAAGATGACATAGAGTATAGAGAATGGTACAATTTGTGCAGCCAAGTAATATTTAGAAATGATGGGGACTCCCGACCCACCTTGCAAGCTGTGCATAAAGAGAGTGGTTCACGGAACTCTGGGATGTTTATGGGCCCAAATAAAGCATAGGATTCATTCTGAAGAAGACTAAAGAAGTAAAGGGGGACCCGGACAGGCTAAGTTTTAAAGTAGTAGAGGGTCTTAGACAAAGTGGTTATTTTGACTGAATTAATACATCCTATCCAGGATAAATGAGGAAATTGCCTGGATTGCATGAGGGAGGTTAGTGAGTGTAGTGAAGGATAATAGTGGCAAATAAAGAAAGAGTAGTCAGAGGTCAAATTAATGCCTAAATAGTTGATGGAAGAGGATGCCCAATGAAAGGGAAAATGTTGTTGCAGGCAGGTTACCAGATTGAGGTTCAAGGTGACATTAAGGGCAGTCGTCTTATCCAGGTTAATGTGCAGTCCGGATATATCTGAAAATAATCCTTTTAACTTTTTACTAATCCTTTGAATGGGAATTGAGAAAAACTGACCCAATTCCTACTTATAACAGAGATGGGATATCACTTTCTGTTCTCTGATATAAATTTACTATGCTGGTCCACACCAGGGCCTGCATTTTACATCCCATTGTTAAAATGCAGGACAAGGTATAAATCCTATGGTGTCCACAGAGTTGTCTCTGCTTTGCCAGGTCATGTAAAAACTCTTATTCATTTTCATAACAATGATGCGCTTTATAGGTGTGTGTTTTTTAAACAATATAATGGCTGTGGTAGAGTCTTACAACTACTTTATAAATGCTCCCCTTAAAGTAAGAAAATTTCTTATAAAATAAAATATGTATACTGACTTGTCCAATCAGTAATTTAATTTCTATTCTCTTATAGGGCCTGGATGCCCAATCAGCCCAGTGATAGTGATAAAAATGAAGACTGTGCTCACTTGTTGTCGAAAGGGAAATGGAATGATAATAAATGCTCCCACGCCGAACTTATGGCTCTCTGTGAGAAAAAACTAGGTGCCTAATCTGAGGCCAGCTTTGCATCAAGCCTGCAGACACACATTGACTCAATCATATCCAGAAGATTTTACAAAAAAATGTATTAGCTTTGTCTTTGTAGATTGCAGTCATGAGCGTATCTACTCTGTTTCAGAAGTGATGTCAATGAGTTTCAGCCTGTGACATTCTACTTTTTATAATATTCAGGGGCCCCAATAGATCTGCCTGAGCCATGAAAGGCTTTCGGTAAACACATGTAATCTCTCTCTCAAGAATAAAGTTGGCCATAAATGGATAGAATTTCTAATGCAAATTCTTAAGAAAATTCATACGAAAAAGCATCAGACCATTCCTTTGTCATTTGAAAGGTTGGCTTGGAATGAATGGACTGAACAAAAACCACAATCACTGTTAGAAATGTGTTCACTCAAGAAAATTTTCCAATCCTGCTTCTTCAAAGTTTCTCATCACTATGGTCGAAAACAAACGTTGATTTAACCTACTAATGGTTAGAAAAACAAATTAACTTTCTTAAGCCAGCTATAGATGAATCAAATCTTGGCCTGTTCAGCAGGGACTAGCCAAGATTTAATCCATCTATGGACAGGTTGGTTGTACTGAAGTTGATCCATCAATCACAAGAGATTACTGCCTGTGGCTATAGCCACTGGTGGTGGGCAGAACACAATAGCTCCATGGGAAGCATTCCCATATCAACATTGACTGTGGTGATGGGGGAATCAAGAAAGTTTCTTTCTTTCCACCTGTGATGGAAGGAAAGAAAGTCATATCACCTATGGCCTGCTTTAGAATCTTCTTTTCCTAAGATTGTTTGTTCAAAATTCAAACCATCTGTGGCCAGCTTTAGACTTTTCAGCAAAAGGTGCAGCAGTCCAAGAGAAGATTCTCCATAGTCCATAGTTTTGACTCTAAATAAAATGTACAACACTGCCTAGGAAATTCCTGCTACAATAAAGATATGCCAGTGACTTTTATCATTGTCTATGTCTGTTTCATTTTCAAATGTAATTCTTCTTTAAATCTTACATATATGCTATGCCAGAAAGATGCCCAAGTCTCCACCACTTTTAAAGAAAAGGTGGTTAAATTAAAAGAACAAAACCTTGATATGCAATTGGCTATTTATGCAAAGTTGCAATTTGCACATGAATATACCCATCTCTTCCCAACCCACCTGATGACGTCTTCGTCAGTTAATAGCTCAGACACCAATGACTGTATTGCTGAATGGAATCAAGGAGTATGCCTAATTCACAGTGACCTATTTAAAAAAACAAGAAAGGGCAACATTGTTAGTTGCCTGGCTAACTCAGTTGATGGAGCAGAAACCTCTTAATCTCAGGGTTGTGCGTTTGAGCCCCATATTGGGTTTCTACTTCCTTCCCCCCCCCCCATGCCTTAGGTTGCCAATCTAAGGGGCCACATATTTGCATACCCAATGTAAATAAAACATGCCGAGAGCGCACGCCCTGCATGCTCCCCGCACCTCACGGAAAGGTCCCAATCGCTACTTGTGATGTGGAGCTTTCCGATCCTGTGACCACCATGACAGCCAATCATGGCGCTCACATGACCCAAACCCCACCTGCTACCCAGCATCACAAACCCCTTAAAGGGTTGGGTGGCGCTGGCGCCAAGGGGTTAAAGCATTGTATAACACGGCCCCTCTCCAAAAACAATAGTGGGAATGGTTAATGGAATACATTCTGACTGGGATCTAACTTTAGAAGAATATGTCTTTTTTTATTTGTAGTACCATATATGGCACCTAATACGTTCACCCGGGGTTACTATAATATCTAGTCACTGTCATCCAAATTGCAATAGATGTCTTGGTTATGTACATGTACAGTGTATGTATGTATGTACATGTACATTGTATGTATGTGTGTGTGTATGTACATGTACAGTGTATGTATGTATGTACATGTACATTGTATGTGTGTATGTACAAGTACAGTGTATGTATGTACATGTACATTGTATGTATGTGTGTGTGTATGTACATGTACAGTGTATGTATGTATGTACATGTATATTGTGTGTATGTACATGTACAGTGTATGTATGTATGTATGTATGTAAATGTACAGTGTGTGTACGTATGTATGTGTGTATGTATGTAAATGTACAGTATATGTATGTACATACACAGAGTATGTATGTGTGTATGTACCTGTACAGTGTATGTATGTACGTGTACAGTGTATGCATGTACATATACAGTGTATTTGTGTATGTATGTACATGTACAGTGTATGTATGTATGTATGTACATGTACAGTGTATGCATATGTATGTACATGTACAGTGTATGTATGTACATGTACAGTATATGTGTGTATGTATGTACATGTACAGTATATGTGTGTATGTACATGTACAGTGTATGTGTGTACATGTACAGTGTATGTATGTGTGTATGTATGTACAGTGTATGTATGTAAATGTACAGTGTATGTATGTGTGTATGTATGTATGTACATGAACAGTGTATGCATGTAAATGTACAATGTATGTATGTGTGTATGTATGTACATGTACAGTGTATGTATGTACATGTACAGTGTATGTATGTGTGCATGTATGTACATTTACAGTGTATGTATGTGTGTATGTATGTACATGTAGTGTATGTATGTATGTATGTATGTACAGTTTATGTATGCACATGTACAGTGTATGTATGTGTGTGTGTACATGTACAGTGTATATATATGTCCAGTGTATGTATGTACATGTCCAGTGTATGTGTGTATGTAAATTTACAGTGTATGTGTGTATGTATGTATGTACATGTACAGTGTATGTATGTATAGTGTATGTATGTACATGTACAGTGTATGTGTGTATAGTGTATGTATGTATGTATGTATGTACATGCACAGTGTATGTATGTATAGTGTATGTATGTACATGTACAGTGTATGTGTGTATGTATGTACATTTACAGTGTATGTATGTACATGCACAGTGTATGTATGTATAGTGTATGTATGTACATGTACAGTGTATGTGTGTATGTACATGTACAGTGTAGGTATGTACACATACAGTGGTTATAGCATTGACCTCACACATGTAATGTCCCCAGTTTTGAAATAGGAGCAGATGTTTTATGTGTTTCACTATATCATAATGACACACCTGACAAATCGAGAGCTAAATGAAGGTCTAATTCAAATGTCTTTTGGATCAATTGAATTATGTAATTAAACCAATAAAACCTATATTTCACTATTGACCATTTTCACACATAGCTGTCAAATGACACAAAGGAGAACAGTATTAAACACTAAGGTAAGCACAATTAATTTGTTAAATTCATGCATATTAGTAAATGATTAGCTAAAAAAACTAGTAAAATCTACTTTGGGAAAGAAAGCCATGTGCCATGTTGAATGTTGGAATACTGTTTCAAGGAGAAATTAGATTTTCAAAACATGTGATGAAGTAATTGTATTTATTTTATAAACATAAAGCAAAGTAGAAATCTTTCATACAGTGTCACAAATTAGTGAGCGCTGCAGAAATGTTAAAGTTAAAATGTTTGCTGTTGCTACAGCACTAGGGGCATCACTTGCAGATAAGTGTTTTCCATGTCCTTCCGGCTGCTGCTTACTAGAGAAATCTTCATTTTAAGCATATGTAACCATTCCTCTTGTAAAAAAAAAAACATTCAGTTTAAAACAGAAATCAAAGGCAAAACATTTGTGCATAGATACAATATATATATAAACACTTTTTTTTTTCTCAGCTGCTCAGCTCAAACCCTCTGTTCTCAGCTGTATAAGAGGGGGGGGGGAGGAGAAACAGCAGAACGCTGATCTCCCCAAAGCTAGGGGAAGAGAAACAGCAGAACACTGATCTTCCCAGAGCTGGGGGAAGAGAAACAGCAGGACACTGATCTTCTCAGAGCTCTTGGAGGAGAAAGAGCAGAACACTGATCTTCTCAGAGCTGGGGGAGGAGAAACAACAGCACACTGATCTCAGAGCTGGGGGGGGAGGAGAAACAGCAGCACACTGATCTTCCCAGAGCTGAGGGAGGAAAAACATCAGCTCACTGATCTTCCCAGTGAATGGCTGTGCAGAGGGGGAGTGTCAGGACAAGTCTGATCATTGTAAGGTAGCAGGCTGATTTCTCAGCAGAGCTAGAGAACTGACCACAGTGTGTCCTCCTGTGGTGTGTGGTCAGTTTTTAATAGGAAAGCAGAGGGACTTGCAGAAACACCACAAATTTTACACAAAAGAATCAATATATAGAAAACAGGATACTTTTTCATACAAATACATGGTACAGCAGACACATACCAGGAATATAAAATGTTCAGTTTGCATACTCTTTATTTATGCTGGATACTTCCAGAATATTGGTATGAATTTATTTTTAACATTGCAGCAGTAAGTGAACACAGGAAAGCTTGGCTATAACAAACTATACACAGCTTCCCTGGTGGTCTAGTGGTTAGGATTCGGCGCTCTCACCGCCGCGGCCCGGGTTCGATTCCCGGTCAGGGAATGTGTGCTTTAGCTCACCTACTGATTCAACCTCTCCGTTTTTATCTTACCTCAATATTACATGTGGTTTCGTTGGTCCTTCCCCAGGCTGTTCACAGTTACTCAACAAGTTATTATATTAATACAGTCAGTTTTGATATAATCCGTATGAACAACATAACAAAAATAGGCTAAACAGTACAAAAATGGAAGAAAAAAAACATGTTATTACTTCATCCTTCTCTAATATACATAGTGCCTTTTGCCTTTTTACCTTCTAACAAATTGCCTGAAGTTGCCTCTATATTGCTCTGGTACACAAGAGCTCTTCATGGCCACACTGATCACATGATATAGGGGCTTTATACCAGCTTTACCGTGCCAACATGCCACTCTGCTCTGATTTGCTTCTTCCCATTTGACTCAATGAGGTTAGAGGGGTCTATGTACCCTCCTGAACTATACCAGCCCACATGCCCTCAATTTGGTGCTGGTGCCTTGCCAGCATTGACCCCCCACTGGTAAAGTCCCTTGTCCCCATGTTGATGAGGAAAGGACCTCTTCTCTAAAACACTGGCCCAGAGATTGTAGGGGTCTGTAGGTGGGGGCCTATCAGAATCTAGAAGCTCACTTTAACAAGGGGGACCCTTGACACTGCCCCCCCATGTGAATGAGTAAGGGGTACATAGTACCCCTTACTCATTCACAAAAAATCTAATGTACATCCATTGGCAATGATGTCATCCAGTGATGCAGGTCCATGTAAATGACCATGAATCACCAACCTGGACTTGACAGATCCCACTAATTCCCCCATACCAAATGACATATCTGAGTCCCCACCAACAGAGGGCAGGGGGTCACCGGGGTGATGTCATTGACCAAATATAGACATATACATATTTATTAATATTTAAGATGTCACATAGGTGTCCCTGCCCCTTTGTTACTTTAGGTGTGGGGACCTAGATATTTCATTTGGTGAAAAGGAAACAATGGGATCAGAGGTGCATCTTGGTAAAATAATGAACACTAAAAGATTTACTGAATGCACTGTTTTAGTAGCGTTTCATGATGAATTGAAAACATTTTTGAAAAATACATTTACAGATAAAATTAATAATTTACACTTAGGGGATTGAGCCCATTGTCCTGCTAAATAGAAAGGGTTTTAGTAAATACTTGGTGAGTTTACTATTATTTCTACTGTTGCCAGGCTCATTCACCTTACCAACCGTTCAGTGTCTGCTGCCCCTCTCTGCCAATCCCTCCACTGACTTCCACTCAGTGTCCTCCACCCCTCTCTGCCAATCCCTCCACTGGCTTCCACTCAGTGTCCTCCACCCCTCTCTGCCAATCCCTCCACTGGCCTCCACTCAGTGTCCTCCACCCCTCTCTGCCAATCCCTCCACTGGCCTCCACTCAGTGTCCTCCACCCCTCCCTGCCAATCCCTCCACTGACTTCCACTTGCAGAACAGAACAAATAAAATACTAACAACAACTTACAAAGTCACCCACAACTCTGCCCCCAGCTACATCGCCAACCTTGTCTCAAAATATCAACCAAACCGCTCTCTTCGATCCTCCCAATATCTGCATTCACATATTCATATCTCTATTTGTATCTGTAGCATGTTTTTATCAGTATTCATATATCTGCATTTAATTCTGTGTATACATTTCTGCTGTGACACGTTGGCCCCACCTTCTATGAGTTGTGTGTTCCGCCCATTTGGGAAGGCTCACACATAGATTTGGACTATTTATTGAGGAGGGGTTTCTCAGTCTGGTTAGCTCTGATGAAGAAGGGACCCCCCTTCGAAACGTGCCAGCTTCATACTGAGAGTCTCCCCTCCTGATGGGATTCATAAATGTCTCCCAATCCAGGGACTCGTTTTTGGGATTTTATTTGCCTGTTATAGTGCTACTCTTGAGAGTATATTTCCTATATCAATAAATCTACTAATTGCTTACTGAGGTAATGCGCAAGGTTGGTGCACTCTGTGTTTTTGTTCTTTACTACAGTTTATTTCTACTGCTGCCAGACTCATCCACCTTACCAACTGTTCAGTGTCTACTACCCCTCCCTGCCAATCCCTCCACTGGCTTCCACTCACCGAACGAATAAAATTCAAAATACTAACAACTTACAAAGCCATCTACAACTCTGCCAGTGGTGTATCTAGGTTTTGTGCTGTAGGCAACCCAAAAATTGGCCCCCCCCCCTCCGCAGAAAGAGCCTGACATTGACCAAGAACACCCCTGTCCTCAACCTGGGCCTTCCATTACCACTGTCCCCCACACACCAGCCACCATCCCCCATGGCGAGAGAGAGAAAGACACTCACCTTAATAGCTCCGGACATCCCCAGGAGCGAGATTCAGGCTGTGCATACACCATCATGAAACCCACAGCATCTCTCAGAACCCACCAAGTCCCCATGCTGCGTGTGTCCCTTCTTCTGTCCCTGTTCTTCCAAGTGGCAGTACTGCCCCCCTGAAAAATGCCATCCTAGGCAAATGCCTTGTTTGTCTTGTGGTAAATATACCCCTGAAATCTGCCCTCAGCTACATCACCAACCTGATCTCAAAATAGCAACCAAACCGCTCTCTTCGATCCTCCCAAGACCTTCTGCTCTCTGGTTCCCCTGTCACCTCCTCCCATGCTCGCCTCCAGGACTTCTCCTGAGCTTCTCCCATCCTATTGAACCCCAATCTGTCTGGTTATCTCATAATCTATCCACCTTTAGACGATCCCTGAAAACCTCTGTCTTTAAAGAAGCCTATCCTGCTTCTACCTAGTAAACTGTCTTTTATTTTCTCCATCAGCTCATCCCCCACTGCTATTACCTTTTGTATCACTCAACCCTTCCTCCTAGATTGTAAGCTCTAACGAGCCGGGCCCTCTGTTTCCTGTTGTACCAAATTGTATTGTAACTGTAATGTCTGCCTTCATTTTGTAAAGTGCTGCGCAAACTGTTGCCGCTATATAAATCCTGTATAATAATTTCAAATGTAATTAACATGACTGAAGCTTCACTCAGAGGCCCAAGGGGAATGAGGAAAAAAAACATGTGAATGGGCCTGACAAACAATGGAACTCAAAAATTCCTGTTCAAAAAAAAAAGATGGCAAATTGAGCTAAAAAATACAGGGCAGAGTTCTGGAGTTGAAGTAACCTAGATGAAAGGCCCAAGTCTTTCAAGTCAAAAATAGTTGGCAGGTTGTTAGGTTTTCCAAACTGCAAATCGAGTAACAGATTTCCACTAAGCACCTCCCACTACAGTAAATGAAGCTATTACTGTGCATTCACGTCACTATACTTTAACCTCTTTAGTGCCCTTCTAATTCAATATTAACTTTTATGGTGCAACCTCCATTCAATCTGCATTAAAGTGAAACTTCATTCCCTGCTTTCAAGTTGCCCGGCTAGCTCAGTCGGTAGAGCATGAGACTCTTAATCTCAGGGTCGTGGGTTCGAGCCCCACGTTGGGCGCAATCTTTTGCTTATATTTTAGGTTTTTTCACAACAACCAACTCTCCCCAAGAATTCTAAAAACTGCTTAGCAGAAGATTTGTTTGACTGTACGACATCTATAGAAATCGGCCTTTTTATGTGCAGTACTATATATGACTCCTAATACGTTCATCTGGGGTTAGCATAGCGTGTATTCACTGTTGTCATAACTGCAATTAGTTTGCTTTGGTTTCCGTGTGCGCTGGTTATAGTATCAACCTCACACATATCCCTAGTCCTGAAATAGGAAAGATCTTTTATTGCTTCATCATTTCATAATGAATCACCTGACAAAGATATAGGTCAATGATGGTTTGCTTCAGATGTCTTTCAGATCAGATGTATTGTGCTATTAAACCAATAAAACCTATTTGACTAGAAACTGCTTCCATATATAAGATCACGCTCACATCGGAGCAGAAAGAATGGATGCACTTTTGTGTATTTTTTTTTGGGGGGGGGGGGGGAGGTGACAGTGTAGGACAGTCCATTCACCTTAACCTCTTCCCGCCCAGCCTATGGCCGAATGGTGGCTGGCAAAAACACTCACCTTTCCGGGTGGACGCCGTATGGCGTCCTTTTGGGCATGCGCAGTTTGCGTGCCTGCAGAGCCGCAGACATGGCTGATGACAGATCTGAGTACCGGCCCCGTTGCCGGTACCATGTGACCTGCTGTGACCAATCACAGCAGGTCACATGACAGTTGTATACAATGGATGGCTTCATTCATGCCATCCATTGTATACTAGTGTGTCTAGCTGTGAATGGTCACAGCTAGAGATGAGCGAAGAAATGAAAAATTCGATTCGACTGATTCGGCGAATTCGTGGACAATATTCGATTCGAGTCGAATAAATTCGCTGT